GCGCGCGCGCACGCTGTAAGGTCCGTACCTTACAGCGTTAGATCTAATTCTAAATCTAATGTATAGTACAGTAGCCGGCGGTTATGCTACAATCAGGAAGTTGTCGCTCTGGTCACCAGGGTTTACGCATTTTGTCCACTCTCCGGTGAAGCCTTTACCAAAAGATGACGCGTAGTATGTTATAATTCCAGTCATTTTGGCGTTACAACCGCTTCTCCCGCACGTTTGGCAGCTTTTGGAGCAAGCGATACAATCCTAGAAGTCATCGTCAAGATATCACTCGCTGTCATGGTTGTTGCGCGTATTGGTAGTACAAAAAAAGCGTTCAAAAACCGCGCAGCAATAGAGATTCCTGTACCTCGATGGGTTCACAAGGAATTGGTTGAGATCCAGCGTTAGCGGAAGCGTGGAATCGTGGAAGCGCAGTTGATGTAAAGCAGAAGCGAAGCATTTCTGTACCTCAGGGGCCACAACAACTTGACGCACTAAGTCATTTTGTGCAATAGGTTGGGATGAGAGCTGATGGGATTTGGAAATGCGGTTGGAGTACTGGTGTCGGCGTGGTTAACTGAAGGAGAAAGAGGCGGGATCGGAGGTCATATCAGGGTAATATCGTCGGAATGGTATCGATCGGAAATGGAAAACAAAAATTGGGGCAAATAACCAAATCGCCGGGTACACCCATGATTTGATTCCTCGCCTCAGTTGCGCGGCGATCCGCGCCCATTTCAAAAAGCCGCCAATTTGTGTTGGTTTCAATGAGCTAATGGTTACAGCATGAATCATTATTTTATTCCCAGTTGTGCACACGTGTAATGCTTGTCTATCCCCATGTTGACCGTGTTTCAAGTTTTTGTTTGGTTCCAACACGAACCCTTGATTGCGGCCCTGTTTTGGTCGTTTCCTTGGTTGGTGGGCGTGTGCAGCAGGCACCCCCGTAAACACGGTCATTCTGGGGGCCTTGCTGTGTTCCCTGCGCCGTGGCGCGTGTCGGTATTGTAGCCAATAGGAGTAAGGCATTTGCAACCAATGGGCGACCAGCGCCCTTCGTGACCTTATATTTTGGGCCAAAGTGGGGCACCCCCCTCCAAATGAGCTGCAAACGAAGGGGTGGGGCCCCCGCCATTTCATTGGCTATCAACCGGGGCACCCCCCTCACAACAATTTATTTATGAAAGCCATTCTACCCTTTCTACCCGACGGTAGAATGTCAATATGCCATCGGAAGTGGATATCATTACACCAGTGTAATGTAATTTTGTGAATTAATAAAGGCTTACCACATACTGTAATCAGTAAGGTAGGACTTGGCTGTTTCATGGAAGTGATCTGTTGCTGCGACTACAAGGCATAATGTTTTGTACATGTAGTCCATGAAACCAGCACGGTATATGCGCCGCAGCCCAGACCAGAGTTACGCCCTCTTCCTTCTCTACTGCATTTACCATGAGCTCCACATCATCCGTCCCAGGCACACCCTCTCCTGATAACCTTGACGAGTTCCCATGGACCCTCAACTCAGACGCAAAACCCAACTTCCCGCCTCTCTTTTCGCTTCCCTGCGCTGGCCTTCCAGAAAACGCCGGGACTACAGACACAGTCCCATTGCACTCTGCTGCCGCTATGAGTTACATCGGCACCCGGACGCCGGCTAACACCGTACGTGCAAACAATACTTCTCTGCGGGCTCTGGTCCGGTTCCTCACTTGCAGCAACAGCCTTACTGTAACCAGTCCCCAAAAATTGCCATCAAGTGAGCCATCAAGTGAGGACATGGATGCAGCTCGCAGACACCTATTCCCAGACGACGCGAACGGATTCCTCCCCCCTGGTTTCGCAAAGTGGACGACTCAGCAGCTCCATCGCGTCAGGTTCTATTTGATCGAATTTTCAGTCAACTATAGGTCAGGAAGAGGAGAAGAGGTAAAGCCAACGACTATGAAAAGCTACATCATGGGAATTCAAAGGGCATTCGCAAAAGAATGGGGTTATAATATTAAGCTGTTGGAGGGTCCGGTGTTCGCGTGCCCAAAAAATGGTCTGATGTCTGTCATCGATAACAGATTTTCGGAACAGCAGAGCCGAGGTATTTTTGTCGAAAACCACAACACGCTCTCTCAAGTCGACTTATCGACTTTGTACAACTCTCGGTTTCTCTCTCGCCAAATGCCGTATGGATTTCAAGCTCGGCTGATATTTGACGTCGCGCTGGTCACCGCAATGCGCCCGTGTTCTCTAGCATCTTTAACACTAGGACAGTTTAAGAAGATGGAAATGGAGGGAGAGATTGTTTGGACTATTTCTGGGGTGTTTGGCAGCCGCATCGGCCCGTCAAAAACTAATATCGGAGGGTGGAATGCTGTTCGTGACCGGCCTCCGGAAGTCTGCGTGTGGGATCGCAATGCCTTTGATGGTGCGCTCAATGTGTTTCAGGATATTGAGGACTACATGACCATTCGAACAAGTCTGGAATGCGCGTCCGATCGTTTCTTTCTGGCAGTGAACCCGAAAGGAAAAAACCTGCACGAGTTTTTTAAAAGGCAGCACTTGGGACGAAACTCTTTTTCAAAGATAGTGAAGGAGGTATGCACGAGCGCTGGAGTAGTGGGTAGTGGATTTGCAGCCGGTATGACCGCGCATGGGCTCCGAGGAACGGTGGTGACGATGCTTTTTGAGTCCGGATTTTCGGACGCCAATGTGGCAATGCGAACAGGGCATCGCGACTTAAGGTCGCTCAAGAACTACCATAACCTGCGGGGAAAGTTGGGGTTGCGACAACAGCGGTCTATTTTGGAAAAACAGAGAAGGATACCAAGATTGTCCATGCTGCAAAGGAAGCCCTCTGCGAGAAAGAAAACAATGAGCCAGTAGATGGCGATCAAGAGCAACCAGAACGTGGCTCGGGAGTTGACAAGGGGGAGGATCTACCTAATGATGTCAGAGACGATGGTCAGACAGGACAGCTGTCTGAAAGGAATACAACTGTTCTGTCTGATGTCGGTGCGATTTCTGGTGGTACATTTACCATCAATTTGCACAACTATTACCGTTAGCAATAGAGCACTGTATAATAGTACCAATAAATAAACAGTGCATGTAATGCAGTGCAATATCTCCATATTGCACCCGACCCGGTGCAATACAGCGATATTGCACCCGACCCGGTGCAATACAGCGATATTGCACCGGGCGGAGTGCATATCAGTCATATCACGGCGCATCCATATCGCACGCCCGGTTGACAAATGCCGAAAACATAAAAAAGAACACTGTATGATATCGCAAAACACACGGCGGGACCGATTCCGGGCTCGGATTGGCTCTACAATAAAAGCATGGACCGCAATCTTAACACCCACTTCGCGAGAAAGGGGCTCAACTTTTGCGCAGTAAAATCAGTCCGTAAAATATCGCGTCACTCATTGTAAGAAGAGGACCTCATTTTCAGGTTTATGCCAGTGTTTTGAAGCACTAGTGAAACTTTCAGAACGATTGGAGCCACAGAAGTGGGCCAAATCAGCATATGTTTGAGGACGAATCGTCAACTCGAAGCACTTGTAACGGTCAATTGTACCATGGATAAAAATATAAAATATTTAAGATATGCATTGCTGTCCTGGTACTCACTGACACTGCTGTTCGTATAATCTCACTGCGTGGCTTGGGAAAGACGATGCATTCACATGCTGGTCTATAGAGCAGCTGAGCTGACCTCTGCCTCAAGGCACACCGATTGAGCTCTGGCTTTCTTGCAAAGGCGCTCTTGAGAGCGCCCTTGCAAGAGGTTGAGATCAACCCTTATTACTCCTGCTGAAAAGGAAAACGTCAACTTCTGTCTAATGTCGACCTCCGTAACTTGCCACCACCAACGCGGCTCTTGTGCCACATGCGAAAACTGTCCTCTTTGTCCCTTGTGTTCATGTAATGGCCCCCGTAGGCCAAAACAAAGGCCACCGAAGCCCACTTCCAGTCTGAAGACGGTTGTCGGCAGAACAGAGGCGAAGGGGATGCCATGCTGCCGGTGTGACCCCACCCTTGCTCACACCCGGTTGTACCCGCCAAGCGGACAAGAATCTTCCTCACAGTAGGATCTCTTTTCACTTTCCGTCTCAGGAAATTGAGTAGTACCTACTCCTACCATAGTACCTCCTTTTATCGGCGTCCTGCCTGTGATGCACACTGAGATTCTAGACTCGCCGCCGTCGCACGCCGTCGGACGACTGCGGGAAGTCGCTACAGTACATATATGCTAGACCGCTGGGCTCCGAATAAAAAGGACATCGATTCATCTTCTTCATCGCCCTGCAATCACACGTGTGATTGCCGGTGTACACCGGTCCAGATCTTGCGGTGCTTGGCGGGGCGCGGGAGGCTTTCTGTGGTTGACGTTTTCGACAGGCTGCACAGTATGTCTGTCTTCTCGGAGGATGACGACCGACGACAGCGGAGAGCTCGAGGGCTGTCGGGGTTCTCAGAGGCCCTTGATGGCGGCAGGACGCACTCGTCAAGGCCATTGCAGCAGTCTCGTACAGGTAAAATGAGGTGTTTGCATTGCTATGCTAGTACTTGAAGGGTAGAATATGATAAATCCAATTTTTTCTATTGTTTCATCGATGCCCCTCGCGCCAAATTGCCCTTTTTTGCAAGTCGCATAGCCCTTTCCAGAGACCACAAAGCGGGTTTTTGTTCGTATATTCAATACCAGCGTAATCAGACGTTTGCAGAGGTATCATTTTCCCCCCAAGCGCACAAATGCGACATTTTCTGGATGCTATTGGCGGTCGTAAAACCGTCCAATTTTGAGCCCCTTTTCTCGCGAGGTGCGTGTTAAAAACCTTTGCGAAACGCAAATAAATACGCGAAACGCCATAGAGTACAGTACCAAAAAGTGCGGGCAATTGGCGCGTACTCTTCTTTTGAAAACAATAAAGGACATAGTTCTGTAGCCCTCGGCCTGAGCATCGTTCTACATCACTGCGAGCGAGCAGTTAGCATTCAGAATGCCAAGAGGACCGCCACTCAGCGACATCGAGAAGGGCCAGATCCTGGCCTTGCACCATCAACTAATGTCCTTACGGGATATATCTAAGGAGTTGGGAAGATCCGTAGGAGCCATACAGCGCTTTTTAAAGAATCCGAGTCGTACCTCTCGTGCTTATGCGCTTGTAACTGGTCAAAAGCTCACCGTCCGCGAAGAGAAAGCCATGATCCGAAAGGCATCCACAGGAAACTTTTCAGCTCAAGATCAAAAGAAGGACCTCGGACTACCGGTAGAAGTGCGCAGAATTCAACAAATTTTAAGCGCAACTCTACACTTGAAGTATAAAAAATGACAACTGCACCCATGATGACTGCTATACACCGCGAAAATAGAGTGAAATGGGTATGTCGCTTTATTGACAATGGAGATCATTTTTGGAACAAGGTAATTTTTAGTGACGAAAAGAAGTTCAACCTCGACGGCCCTGACGGCAACGCATGCTATTGGCATGATCTACGGAAAGATGAAAGGTTTTTTCAAAAAGACGAAATGGAGGAGCATCAGTCATGGTTTGGGGAGGTATTTCCCCTTACGGGGTGTCCCCGTTGGTCTTTTTAAATGGAAATCAAGACTCTCGCAAGTACTGCGCAACCCTCGACCAAGCTTTACTTCCCTTCGCAGCGGAGATGTATGGCGAAATGGCCACTTGGGTTTACAAGCAAGATGGTGCCTCTACTCATAGGGCTACATATACGCGCTCATGGCTAACTCAGAAGGGTGTAAGGACTATGGATTGGGGGGCAAAGTCGCCTGATCTCAATGTAATAGAGAACATTTGGGGCATCATGGCGTGCCGCGTTTATCTTCGTCAAAGGCAGTTCGATACTGTAGACCAACTTAAGGAGGTCATTGAGGAGGTATGGGCGACAATTAGTGGAGAACTCCTAGAGAGCCTTTGTCGTAGCATACCTCGCCGTATGCTTGCAGTGCTGGATGGACAAGGGCGTGCGACAAAGTACTAAAATAAAGACTTTTTTGGTACTGTACTCTATGGCGTTTCGCGTATTTATTTGCGTTTCGCAAAGGGTTTTAAAGATTGCGGTCCATGCTTTTATTGTAGAGCCAATCCGAGCCCGGAATCGGTCCCGCCGTGTGTTTTGCGATATCATACATTGTGTTTTTTATGTTTTCGGCCTGTGTTGCTGGAGAACCCTTTCGACGATGGGTGTATTTATTTGCGTTTTGCACACTGTATCAAGTGGTTAGCTACACGCATGTACACATGTGTTGAAACGGATGCGCGTTTTTTGGAAGATTTTGCGTTTAGGGGGGCGATCAGGTGCATTTTGATGGCAACAGACGGGTGAAATTGACGTTTCTGTTGTGAAGAGTATCGTCGGTTTACTATTGGTCCAAGCACATCCGCCCGTAGGAGTACAAAATGAATGCTAGAATGCTAAACCAAGGGCGCAAGAGTATCCACGGGCTCTGGTAGAAAAATGATGTATCAAGGAAAGAGGAATAGACATGTGAGGACCCGGAAGAACGAGCGGAGAAGGGCGGAACGGGGATGAGAGGGAAAGAGAAATAGACATGCCGGATCGAGGGAGGTCCTCCGGGCAGAGCTGGTGGTGGTGTTCTAATAAAGACAGCGACGCTCGGCATGCTGACAGAGATTGTCAGCCCCTTGCTACTTCCTGGGGGTTCTTCACCCGCATACATGAAACGTGTACACGGACGCGAAGATGCCAAAAGAACACGGAGAGGCCTCAGGCGTCAGTACGCATGTGGGCAAAGAACCACTTCGACACGGCGGTCAACTGAATGCGACTGTCAAAATAAATCGAGAACATGCCATCAGAAGCCCAGTCAAGGCGCTGCATTATCCACACTTGGGTAAATTGTAGGTTCACCAACTCGTTCACACCCCCGATACGGGGACTGTGCGAGCCGTAGTAAAAGCCAGGCGGCGCAGCAGCGGAGACAAGCTGAAAAGCGCGGGTAACAGCGTCCGAAAGACGCGCCCCACCCAACCGCTGATTATGGCGTAGGTTAAACACCCCCGTGAGGCCGGACGCCGGGAGATCCAATGCTGGATTAGTGATGACGGACCGGAATTAGTCTCCCAAGCGGGATTTTGGGGGTAGTGCAGTATCAATGGGCGGCGAAGGGACTTCTCTTTGCGATGCGTGAGCTTCGATGAAATTCCGTCCGCATTCACGGTGACGTCATCAGGGGCCAGGTGTGCCACTGTAACAGCGCGATATTGAAAAATAAAAGAGAAAATAACCATGCTGCAGCCCCAAACATCCTCCAGATCAGTGCTTTGAAGACCATACTCGAGTACCCTTTTCATCATGTCTGCCCCGCATCCGATCCTGATCAACTGTTCTGATCCAGCTTGATCGGCCTTGTTGGTGTAAGCCTGTAATAGGTCTCTGACAGTTGGAGTGAGCGTGGGGGATGCAAAGCCATGATTGACGTGATATCGAGACACCGCTGACACGTATTGAGGAGCCGAGGCCGCACTGACTCGGCCTTCAAGTGACAGGTATCCAATAAACGCCGGCACGTCCCATTCCTCCGCCGGAAGCGGGTCCCGTCCCTCCTCATCGCAGAAAGATAGCCACTTGCGGATCTGGCTTGACCGGTTGCCCCACGTCCGCTCCCTCCAACGGAACTCGGCGAGCAACGACGCTGCCGCCTCTGCCCCTCCTGTAGCGGTGTCAGTCCCGGCACGCGACAGCACCGAAGCCACGATCCCGGCCTTCCAGTTCCTCTCTACACGATCTCCGCGACGACCACTGACCATCCCTCGTTCTTGCCTTCTCCTTCCACCAGCGGTCCGTCGTCCCCGGGGTGTAGCTCCACCATGCGCGAGCTCAAGCTTTGCAAGCACGCGTATCAAGCTTGTGCTGGCCACCTCGGCGCAACCAACACTCCCTTCCCATCCTCTGCCGCGATCTTCCGAACAACAACCGGAAGAAGATCGAATGGGGGGTTCCAAAGTCGGCCTTTCCCGTCCCCCCAGTCTTCGTCCATCTGCGTCAGCAAGTACTTTTTTCTCGCTATCAGCGTGTCCCCCAGCGGCCGTTCTCGAAATACCACGTGGCTCAAGCGATATTCTTTCTGTATTAACTGTAGCAATGAATCCGTAGCCCTTGCATCCCTCGGATCCCAGGTTCGCGACAGTGTGTCCGCGAACCTGTTTACCGTTGATGGTATCCATCTTGCTTCCAACCGTACACCGAGGACTCTCAGCAGTACTTCCAGCTTTCTCAACTCGATCATCATCTCCTCCGAGGCCGACACCATCGCATTCAGCACGTAGACGACGGCTTGATTGTCCTCGTGTAACAGCAGGCGACGAACTCGCGGGTCTGATACGTGTAGTATAACACCCCAGCGCTCAACAGACCACGAAGGCGGGAGCGGACTCAGGGCGTATACTGTAGCTCGAAGTGCGATGTCACCGGGCGTACGTGCCAATAAGCGAATGGGAACGTGTCCCTGGTAGCGTGGTAGAGTCTTGAATGGGTTCGACACCCCAACGAGCAACTGCTGGCAGATCGACGTGTCGACGCGTGACTCGGCGCCCTTGCGATCAGGGCGACGACGCGGAGTCCGGATCCTGGCACGGAGCCGAGCTGTCGTAGCGTCTCACCCTCGGGTGGGTGGTCGGAACGTAGAACGGAAAACGAAAGGGAAAAAAGGCCAAAAGACCTACGAAAAAGAAAGGAAGGCGTAGACGACTAGGGGTCGGACTTGACCAGACTAGCCCTCCGTGCGCTGTCGATGGTCCTCTCTTCATTCCCCTAGCGGCCTCCTTTATTAACTACGTAATACTGTACTTCTTACACCGTAAAGCGTAACGGCGCCAATACAGAGGAGACTTCGTAACGACTATTTGCGCCGTTGCGCTACAGTACTGTACTCGAGGTACTGTAAAGATCGGTCGCCTTACACGCAACATTAGACGGATCCGAAAAATGACAGTCGTTGTCATAACGTTTGCCACGTGGTTGACGTTTCCACGCGGACAGTATTTTTGTGTAGATAGGACACGCGTCCTTATGCTACAATACGTAGTCGGCAAAGTGCAGGTGGAGGAGTAGCCGGACGGCTCTCAACTCGCGCAAAGTGATCGAGTGCGCCCTGTTGTCCGCGCTCCAAAATCCGCGACCCTCCCACAAACCCAGCAGTCCTTGACCAGTCTCGAGTCCCAGCGTGCCGCCACAACCCACATCGGCGGCATCGCTGTGCATTGTCATATGCCTTTCCAGCCTGACGAGATCCCTTCCTTCTCCCCTCGAAAGCGAACGCCAGTGTCGAATGTCGCGGAGCGACTGCCGGCACAGCCTGACCTTGATCTTCTGCGTGCTCCGGGTGTGCTCGGCGGACCCACTCGCGAGCGGCTGCTGGGGGCTTCGGCCGCAAACCCCCGGTCTCCACACTGTAGGCCTCGCAAGCGCAGCCCCTGGCGCAGCCGTCCGACATGACCCTCGCTCCTTGCACTCCGCCAAGGACATGTCGAAGTAGACCGAACGCGTGTAGAAACGAGCGAGTGGAACCGCGAGCGACAGAGACACACATACGCCGCAGAAGTGTCGTAGTAGCTCCAAGAGTACCAAGCGTCGATTCCGTTGCGCCATGAGGAGAATCTTTCGCGCCAGTCCTCGCACTTTCTTCACCTTCGCATCGGAGACGTACACCTTCATATCTTCTGTGTCTATGAGCATTCCGAGGTGCTCCACACGTCGCCCTCCCTCCCAGCATCCTTTCTCCTCGTGCCGCACGATGCCGAGCCGTCCAAAGAGCGCTGAAAGCCGCTTTCGCGCTCTTCGATAGTCCACTTGAGTCGACGGCAGCCCGTAGCGGCAAGGGGCGGCCAGGAAGTCGTCGATGTACGGAAGCACACGATAACCAAGGGTATCGCGCATGTACTGTACGAGCGGCCTCAGTAGCTTTGTGAACCACCAGACAGAGCGCCCCCACCCAAAACGGGAGGGCGATGCAACGGTAGAAATGTCCGGCGTAGCGGAAAACAAAGTAGTCTCGAACGTCGGGTGCAGAGAAAAGTGACGGTAGCCGCTTTTGATATCCCAAGACATTAAAGTATCCCCGCGCTGTATGTCTATGGCGAACGAAGGTATCGTCTCCATCCTCACGCTCCCTTTCCTCCAATGCTTGCTCTGTCGGTGGAAGTTGACGACGAACCGCCCCTTCTTCTCCCTTTCGTCCCCTTGCCATACCACGAACGCCGACGAAACCATCTTACCTGACTGCACGATTCCCTCGATCTCCTTCGACGACACGCGTTCGTATATGCCTTCCTGACACCCATCCAGCAAGTCCTTCCGGGCAAGACACCTGTCCTCCTCTGATTGGGGGATTTCTTCCATTTTACCAAGCCATCCATGAAGGGCACCGCTGGCATATCTCGAATGCCATACCGGATCGCACGGACGAGGTATTCTGAAGCACCAAGCTCCGACTGCCACTTGTCGCCTCTTAGTGATGTACCTCTCCACAACAGTGGTCCCCCGGCCACTCAGTGCCTCTCATGCCCCGTAGGGCGCCCGTTACTCTTGGGAGGCGGAACCGGGGGATCCTTTGTTCCCATTCGCTCCGCCCGTCTGGCTGCGCCCTCTCGCTCTCTCGAGACGAGCTTTGGCCAGCTGCTTTGCTGACTCGATCTCTAGTTTAGAGGTGAGTGCCTCTCGAGCTGCGCTGTAAGACTCCGAAAACACGGCATTATGCCCCTGCTCGACGAGAAACGACATCTGCCGGGCTGTCTCAACGCCTTGCTCCGTGAGGTCACGAAAGTATTGAGCCCTCATAGAAAGGACCTCAAGGGCGGCTTTGAACGACGATTGAGCCAAATCCAGCCGCTGCGCTAGGTCTGCCACGTCACCATCTTGCCCCTTCGCGACCTTGAGTTCAGCCAGACCTAGCTCAGTCCATACCCCAGCAGCATTAATGTACTCCCACTCCTTCGCGGATCTCCGTTCCTTAGACCTTAGATCGGAAAGGAAAGCGTCAGGCGGAGGCTTAAAGTACCCCATGTGAGTGATCGGAACATGGGGGCCTCTCTCGAAGACACTTCGCTCTCCCTCCAACTTTAGAGAGTTCAGCTCAGTTACAACAGTGCCATAGTCGCGGAGCTCGGGCTTCGCGGTTGCCCAAGCTGCCCTGAACGCCACCCCGGCGGAAGGCGGGGGACTGCTGTTTGCGTCTGTCATCGCTCTCAATAGCACGCTGTGTGTGCTACGTAGAATGTGTCGCCGCCCGGAATAGTGGTCAGGGGGAATTTCTCAAAGAGAAATATAGACATGCCGGATCGAGGGAGGTCCTCCGGGCAGAGCTGGTGGTGGTGTTCTAATAAAGACAGCGACGCTCGGCATGCTGACAGAGATTGTCAGCCCCTTGCTACTTCCTGGGGGTTCTTCACCCGCATACACGAAACGTGTACACGGACGCGAACAGGGTCCGAATCATGAATTGTTGTTGCAAGAGCGGGGCGAAAGAAATATCACGATTCGTTGGCGAACTTGTGCCATTTGGCCTTATCAGTAGGCTGATTTCGGAAAAGTAGCAGTTCAGTAGGAGGATAAGGGAAAAGTGGCAGTTCAGTAGGGGAATCAGCCATTGCATGCGGCCAAAATGAAAATGAAAACAATAAAACGCATATGCGGGTGTGGTGGCTAATCTCAAGTCACTGTAGGGCACCTGCATTTGTTGTACGGCACCTGCAGTCGTGCACGAAATGGGTGACAATGGAGAGGCCAAGGAGGCCTTGAATTAATTTAGGAGGAAGTGGCACGTTATCATCTAAGAGTCAAGAAAATTGTGCAAAGTCACAATAGGTGCTGCACACGATGTAGACTAAAGTTACAAATTTGTTGCCATTGTGATGTTATGGACCGATTCAGTTATAGGACCAACCTCTGCTTACTGAGACAGCCCTGTCGCAGGAAGTACTGCACTACGATGGAATATGTTTATATCAATACAAGCGTCTCGGCGGTGCAGTTCCAACCGGCTTGGTTTGATATCTCAAGTCAGTCTGAAACTGGAGTTATGCTAAAGAAACCCGAAAAGCCCCAAAAAAATTGTCACGAAAGTCGCGTACAGGGTTATTCACCTCTGAATACCTCAATTAATATTTCTTATACTTTCACCTGCGGGTATCTTTGGACAAATAGTAAAGACAAATAGTAAATCAACACAACACTTCGTGCAGTTTGTTGCTGTTGTGGCTGCTATTTGGTATATAATCGTGAGATTCTTGAGATTCTTGAGATTCTGAATTTTTCTTTCTTTCCTCATCTCCCGAGCACCTGATGGGGTACGAGCCCAAGTTCGGGTACGTCTCCAGGAGAAAAATCCAGCCGTCCTCTATCACCACTTCAAACATCGGCCGTCTCTCCGTGCCGTTCTACACGACATTTCTGCTGGTGAAGGACGCACGGACGATGGAGCTGCTGGTCGAGGTGTCGCACAAGCGGGACTTTGCGTTCATTTCAGCGAAGAAGAGGGGCAACGCGGGGTGATCCTGCTGCTGCAGAAGGGCGAAGGCATGATGGAGGAGATGGAGGAGATGGAGGAGAACGGCACATTCAGGCGGCACACACACAGAGAACGTGATCAACAAAGGCGACTTGGACAAGCGCTATTTATACTTACACCGAGAACTGATGAAGGTCGAGTACAAGGGATGGGCGACTGACCCGATTTGTGACGTGAGCGGGTTTGACGGGACCGTGTTGGAGGACTTGATCAACTCTGCATTGGGGATCAGGGTGGCGAGTAATTTCACTGCGAAGGTGGAGCTGGGGTTCGAGTCGAACGATCAGTGAGTAAGGAAGAACGGGGCGGCGAGGGTGTTCCGGGTTCGCGATTACATGCTTGCGGAGAGTTTGTGCGCGTTTCAGCTTGTGGGCGGCCCCCTCACGCCACCGCCCGCTTCCTCTCTGCGCGGGTAGCCGCAGCAACCCGCGTCGTAGCAATTCCTGCTAATGTAGACCTCTATCACGCAGTGCTTCCCCCTCCTGACCAGACGCTCAACTCCCCAATCGGTTCGCTCCCGCTTGCTACCTTTGCACGAGTGTCACACGGCGCTCTCCGGTACTGGTAACGCCATCGCGATTGTATAGCGCTGTCCCTCGCCGACGCCGCGCTTCCGCGTCGTCCCGCCCGCCATTCCCCGCAGCCCCTCCCGCCGTCTCCCTCGCCGTCTCACCGCGCAAAATATCAACGGCGCTGTCACGCGGGGTACAATTTACACAGTGGCACCCGACTCTACCGCGAGCGCGACGGAACGGCTCGCCAGCGTCACGTTCTACAAGGTGCTATCTCCCCACTTGCAGCGCGTGAGGAGGCCATCTCACATCGGCCCGCCGTTTTCCGCCTCGCCGATGCGACGAAGCAGCTCCTCCACGCGCCGTTCGTGCGCGGTGAGCCTGTCGCGTGACTCCTGCGCAAACTCTGCGAGACACGTCCTGAGCTCTTGCAAGGGGTCCGCGCCTGCGACACGCGGCTCTCCCGTAGGGAGGGTGCGCGCGAGCGGGTCGGCGAGCTCGTCGCTCCACCCGGTCTCCCGCTGCGCCATGGCCCGCTTGCGGATCGCGTCGAACACGGCCATCTTCTCATCCTCGCTCATCTCCTGCGGCACCTCGGCTCGGTCGCCGTCGCCGCCGGCGCCGGGAGATTGGACGATTGGTCGAAGGCCTGAGTCCTCGCTGAATGCAACTCCGTTGGCCGCGGAGAGCTCCTTCTCCAGACGCTCAATTTCGTACTTGAGCGCCTCCGCGGACGGTTGACCTCCTCCCTGCCCGCCCTCCCCCACTACCAAGTCGTCAACCTCCCCAGTCGCAGCACCAGTTCCAGTCAACTCTCTCAGCTTTCTTGCCACAGCCTCAGCTTCGGCATCAAGCTGTGCAATGTCAAGTTCCGTTTCAGAAGGCGGCGAAGAATTTGGATCCGCAGCGTTCGCCCCATGCACATTGGCGTGATCTTTCGCCAGGGCAGCCATGTACGCCTCGCCCGCGTTCAGTCCCGTGGACGTGAAGTCCCCGTCGGGGACATGCGAGCTAGTGCCCGTCTTCAAGCTGTTGATGTAGGCGTCCGCGGGTCGGAGCCCGCTCGTCCCTTCGAGGGAGCTCAGGTCTGGCGCGGTCCTCTTCAGGCTGTTCATGTAATCGTCCGTGGACAGGCGTCCGCTCTGCTTGTTGGCGGCCCTGCGGACGTGGTCCAGCCTGTGGGCGATGTGGGTCATGCGGGCCATAAAGTCGTCGCCGTTCCGGGCGCCGTCCAAGTACTCTTTGTCCTCCTCCGTCAGGTCCGGCATCTGCATGCCCATCACGGGGCCGGGGTCGCCGAGTGTGGCGTCGTCGTCCTCGTAGAAAGATGGATCTATCGGGTCCACAGACGTCATCCCCACACCCCCCAAACGCGAGCGAGGTGGATAGAGGGGAGAGGCTCGCCGTAGGCTGCAGAGTTTCGAGCGTCGTCCCGCTGGGGTGAAGGTAGAGATCAGGGGGCTCTGGATGAACGCCATTTCGGAGGGGAAGAAAGGGGGAGGAAGGGGGAAAGTGTCGTGTGAAGGTCGGGGGGTCGGGGGTGGGGAGAGGGATGAGAGAAGAAGGTGATGATCCCTAAACACTAAAAGTGTAAAGGGACGAGAGTCTTGCGTTGAAGGATCGTTGCGAGATCACATGAACAACACGTGTCCAACGGTGTCTACAGGAACACGTGTACAGACGTACACGACTGCGACGTGTACGGGCGGTATTTTCCTGACACTATTTTCCTGACATTGGCACTGCAGTATTCGGCTTACACCTGAACGAACTACAAATGAGGCCTCAGAATTGGGCGGCGGACCTCCGCCCTCATCCTTCGCCTTCCCTAGCATTATCCCCTTCTGCCCGCTCCCGCTACCCATCGCTTCCCACACCGCCACCATGGCTTCCCCCCCGCCGTCGCCGTCACCGTCGCCGTCGCCGGCCTCAGAGGCGTCGCTCCTCTCCGCGCGGGCGGCGAAACTGCGCGCCGAGATCGCCGCGCTGACCTCGCTGCTCGCCGAGCAGGAGGCGGAGGAGCGCGACGCGCAGCGGCAGATCGAGTCGCTGACGTACGCGACGGACCTGACGCGCGACGAGGCCGCGCGCCGCGCGCACGCTAACGCGGAGCTCTCGACGGCGTACAGCCGCGCGCCTGCGCCCGCGCGCGAGGACCGCTCCGTGGCGACGCTGCACAAGCTCGAGCACGACCTGTTCAACGCCAAGAGCGCGGCCGCTAGCGCCACGTTTGAGGTCGAGCAGGTCGAGTTCCGCCTCAAGAAGATCCGCGACGAGACCGCACCCGGCCCGGGCGGCCGCAGCCGCGGAGGGCTGCCGCCCGACGTCAGCAGCCCGCCCACGCCGGTCATGCGCTCCAGCCCGCAGATTGCGTCGCTGTCCAACCGCAACATGTCCAAGCGCAAGATGTCCCCGCTAGTGCGCCCCGCGCGACTGATTGGGGACGTGGACTGCTTGGTCGCGTTTGCCGGCGCCGAGGGGGAAGCGAGGCAGCCGGAGGATTATGCGCCGTGCCGACTGGGCGTCACGGCAAGCGGCCACATGGCCGCGTACTCGTACGGGAGCGCCGTTCCGCAGCTGGAGTTGGACGATCGGAGCGCGAGGACGGGGGAGTTGGGGGAGGGTGATATGGAGGCGCTGGGCCAGAATCTGGGCACCGTTGATTTACAGATCGGGGCTAACAAGTACTGGTTATGCGGGCTGGGTGAGGCCATGACGGCGTCCATGCAGCTGGTGCAGGACGCGAGCAACGTGCTCAAGACCGACGATGAGGAGGTTGAGGTGACGGGCGGGGGGTAGAAGTACAGGAAGGACGGTGGGTAAGAACAAAACAAGGTGAGCGGGACGGAACGAGTGGGGTGCAGCACGCGCTCACACGAGGGCGTTGCAGCCTTCGGGATGGGTCATCTGTGTGCCGAGGTGCAAAAAAGACGGGTTTGTCGGGTCAATGAAGGCATAGTGGACGTCAGTGGGGATGAGGGCTTTGTCTACGGCCTTGCGGAGGACTCTTGTGTCCTTGGCGACACGATCCGGGTCGGCCAGCAAGTCGTGCAAGGCACCGGCCAACTCGTCGTTCATGCTGCTGTCCAGCATCTCTATCCGGAACTCCATGGGCTTTCCTGGGGTGGCGAAGACGGGGCTGGGTCCGAGGGCCGAGTGGGTGACGTCTGCGGGCACGAGGACGCCGGCGAGGTGCTTGGAGTCGAAGAAGGGGCGGCGGATGTGGAGATGGTCCTTGCGGAGCCACACGAGCGGGATGGAGAGGTGGTGCGGGGCGGCCACGGAGGGGCGCGGCTCGAGGATGAAGACGAGGCGGCACGTGGAGAGATGGGCGTGGCCGAAGCCGTAGAAGGCGGCGAGCGGGGCCCAGCTGGAGCCGTGCGGCTCGGAGGCGCCGACGAAGAACTTGACGTCGTGCCAGGAGGAGAGGAACTTCTCGCCGGGGAAGGCGGAAGGCTGCTTGGCGAGCGTGGCTGCGGCGTCCATGCTTGGGGATGACGGGGGCGGTTGGGGTGTGTGTGTGTAGTGGGTGGTGTGTGGTGGGTTGCGTGCAAGAATGGAAAGT